GGCGGGAGGGCGGGAAGGCGGGGGTGGAAATGTGATGATGCAAACAGAGGCCCAGGAATCCCTGCAGTCCATGGTAGATAGACGGTGGTTGGCGACCATCCCGCCCACGGATAACGACGACCTTTACATCTTGGAGTTCGCGCGGGAAAAGGTACGGGACAGCGGGGGGGAAGCATGGGTGGAGGGAGGGAGGGGAGAAGGGTGGGAGAGAGAAAGGGCGGACAGGAAGGGCGACATCCTCTGTGTGTCGCTCAGCTCCCTGCCTTCCAACGTCACCCGCACACTCTCATCTTGGTTTTTGAAGTGCTCCTTTTTAAAAAAAAGGTCCTTCTTACGTTCAGGCCCCCATCCTCGTGTTTACTTGCCCTTGTTGACTCACCCTTGTCCCCGTTTCCCTCGACCAGAACGCCCTCGTCCTCTCGAATGACTGCTTTCGAGACCATTGCGCCCGGGACCCGTCCTTGCGTCCATTCCTGCAACGCAACCGGGTGTCTTACACGTTCTTTGCGAACGATTTTTTGCCCAATCCGGGGCATGTGGGCTTGCAGGCTCTGAAATCGAGAAGGAATGAGGGACAGAAGGAGATCGGAAGGCACTAGACTAGGTGGGAATACTGAGGAGTGTGGAGCGTTGGTGGGGGAAAACTCTGATAATATGCTTGACGACCCATGTTGAAAGGTGGGGAGTGAAGCGTCCGAAAAATGCAATTGCAGCTTAATGTAGATAGTTCAGTCTTTACACTGTGAAGTAAGCAAGCGAATTATGTATTTTTTTGCTGACACTCCTACTCGCTTATTCTGCCTTCCCAGCTGTTGTCTGTACTTTTATTTGTGCAAGGTACGTCCCAACGTCCTACTGGCTCTCATTATTGGGTATGACAGGTCATCAATACTCGCCGGCATCCGTATAGTGGGAATTTTTCTCGTGTGTAAAATGCAATGGCTTTACCTACATAAATGACGATCATCAGTATGTGAGATCGCACACCTCAACTAGATTAGGAGACCTGTACCTCGAGTACTATATCATTTATTCTTATATCCTTATTAAGATAATTTACCTTGAGCACAAACAAACTTTGGGACGTTTAATGTTCATCATTAACGTATATTTCCAACTTTTACACGCTTTTTAATTCAACACACATGGGCAAATGCATGAGCTGACCGCGTGTTAGCGATACAAGTAGTATTTGTTGAGTCGTCTTGGTCTTACTTCTCGAGAAAAATTGATTTCCACCCCACGCTTCGCTTCTTGTGCTTCGACAAGGCTGCCAAGACGAAGATCCTTGTTGGCGATTTCGGCGATGCTTCAACATCCTGACGCGGGCAGTGTGGGACTCCTTTGTGATGAACAGAACTATACACGATGAGGCCTCACTTGTATCTTGCTCCTTTTATTTTCGCAGGTGGTTGCAGCTTTGACCAGGTTGATGAATCGATTGATGGAAAAGACCACAGCCAAGCGCGAAAGAAGGTAAGTAGGAAAGAAGCGGAAACGGCAGTTATCCTGGGTTAAAATCTGTTGACTTACTTCAATGCGCTCTAGCAAGATACGAGTGATGACAAGCAAACGGCGATATATTGGGCTCAGGACTTCGTCGAATGCTTCATCTAACACATTCCATGGGGCATCAGCAGATATTTCAAGCAATAATACTGCCAGCTCCAGAAGCATTGAAACAAAGTTTACGAGTCGTTCTGCCCGCAAAATGTCAGCATCTTAAGCCTCCTGGTCGGTTTCAGCTGACAAAATACTTAGGGATGAAAGTGAGCAATTCCATGGCAATCAGTCAAGCCTCCTCCTTTGCCGATCCCGAGGAGCTCCGTCGACGCCAAGCGCGCGCGGCTCGTTTCGGCCCCTCCCTGTCCACCTCGGTGCCCTCACCCTCCACTTCTACACACCCTGCGACGCTGAAGAAGAAAGAATCTCGGAAAGGCCAAGTGCGGTACGGGCCAGTGGTGGGGACTTGTGTTGTGGTGGAGAAAGACTACACGCGGTCGGCGGACGATTTCGACCCTGCCTTGGTGCGGCCGCCACCTGTACTGCAGGAGGTAGGAAGAGGAAGAGGGGACAAAAAGGCGATAGACAAAGGAAAAAAAGAAAGATAAAAATAGCAGCAGTGGCTCTGTAAAGGGAGCATGCGGGTCTCCGTGAGCCAGTCATAGTCTGATGGTGCTCCCCTCCCATCTCTCTGACGGCGTCATCGCCTTTCCTCCTTTCCCCCCCTCTTCTTCCAGGCGCTGCGCTGCGTAAAAGCCCATTGGGCAAAGCACGAGGACTATGCACATGCCTGCTCCCAGTTGAAAAGCATCCGGCAGGATTTACGGGTGCAGCACGTGGAGGACGCCTTCGCCGTCCACGTGAGGAGGGAGGGAGGGAGGGAGGGAGGGA